TTTTTGAGGTTAATTAGAAAAAAATTTTGATAAGTAAAAAATAATAACCGCCATTACTTTTGGCTAGGACTGTATATTGAACCAAATTCCAAATTCCAAATTTATAATTTGGGATTTTTTTAGTTTTCTGTTAGAGAGATTAGCATCAATAATATAGGTATTAAAACCATGAATTAAAGCAAGACTATCAGTATAGATATTCAGTGTAGTTGATGGGATGCAACAGTAAGAGTTATAAGAAAGGCAAACAATTCTGCTTTAGTGAAAGAAGGCCAATATAGTAATGAAGCATTAAAAGAATGATACTGAGTATGATGATCAATACAGATCTACCCTAAACCTATTTTACATTCTTTAGAGTAAGATTTATCTAGTGAGCCATCAGTATAGAAGTTTAGTAAATTGGCTTCACTAACAGTAGATTGAATAGCTTTGAGTTAGTCAGAGTAAGGAAAGAGTGAAAATAGTTTGTTAATAATGTTTTCATTTGGAATAATGGTAATAGGTGATGAGAGACTAGAGGTATTATAAAATAGAGAAGCAACACGAGATATTTTATCAGATGAATCACGAAAATGATTAGCAATTAAAATAACTTTTTCACTTTTAAAATGAATCTTGAAAATTCTAGTAACTTCAATTCTGAAAAAGTATGGGTTGAAAGAATCTTCTGAAGTAGTAAGATCACATTTATTACATTAGTTGAGAAAGTGGATTTCATCATTAGTAATCGAGAAAATAAAGTGATGACAAATGTATTATAACTCGTTGGATTTGTTACTATGGAGAATACTATAAATGAGCTTGAGTAATATAGGATCCTAATAGGTGATTGACTTTCTTCTTTTTACCAAAAGAGATAGGAGTGGTGAAATCTATTAAATGTCTATATAAAGGAAGAGGAGTACCTAATCTATATTTTCTATGTAGTAATCTAATGGGTCTATTAGTTAAAACTAATTTTTCCAAATGATCAAAAAGTTTAGAATTTCCTATTTTGATAGTGGTGTGATTAAAATCTCTTAAGAATAAATCAGATTTCGTTATTAAATAACAATCATCTGTTAAAATTAATTGATCTAAAAAATAAAGATTGTGATTTATTAGTATCTTTATTTCTTTAACAAATGTGGCAAAGAAAAAAATTTTGCATAAAAGACTATTGCCTTTTATTATTCAATTTGAAAGATTAGAAGACAAGAAAATTTTTGACGAAGAAGATTTGATTAAACTTAAAGAGGCTCAAATGAGGTTTTTATAAGAATTTCGATGAAAGTGTTAAGACCAAAATTCTAAGAGTGAGATGTAAAGAACAAATTGTGATTGTAATTGATAAAGTCTAATTCTAGAAATATGTTCGTATATAGTCAAATTGTTGAATTGATAAAGTAATACACTCGATAAGGATTTGATTTGTAGAGACCAAAAGGCATTCAAATTGTAAAACTCTTTGAAATGTAGTATTACGTTTAGAAATATACTTGCAAAATTGCATTTTCTTTTAAAAAAATTACAAATAGAAGCAAAAAAATTATTACACTCCTTTTTCGATAAAAGATAAGTTATATTCTATATTTTATAAGAGAACAAAGGACAATATTGATAATATAAGAAATCTGTTTATCATTAAAAGATTTGTAAATCATTAAATTAACATAACAATGAATGTCTTGTTTGACTTGATTCTTAACAAAGAGCAGTAAATGTTTTGTATTGATCTAAACTCCTAAGAACTTGATTGAACCTTTTTCAGAAGAAATGTTAATTATGGATAAACAAAATTTCAGATTAATAGTGAGTAATTGGTATCGATATATCATAAGTAATTTGAATTTTTTTTTATTCAGTGCCGATCTAGTGAACGAATAAAATTCTTCTGCTACACTTAAAATGTCTTCAAAATCTTTTTTAAAGCTGGTAATCCAGTTAGTATCATTCATATAGGCGAATATAAAAATGGGTTTAACCATATTTATATATATTATACAGCGATTTTGTAAATCAATTTTTGCTAATCTACTGATCCAATTTTGACAAATTTTAGCTTTTTGGAATCGCTGCATTGAGGAGAATCAGAATCTAGTATCAGTTTTTTAGTAGTTGACCTACTGAAAATATTTCTAACACTGAAATTTTAAGTAATAAAAATATTTATATTAATTACAAAATTGCGTAAAACTGGTATTAATAATCACACTTCAAATTTTTATTGATTATTCTCTAAGATTTAAGAATTAAAATAAATGTAAATCATATGGGTTATGATCTAAGAAAATCAAGTTCTAAGAATTTTTTATCAAAATTGAGATTTAATTGCATTTTAATTTTTGTTACATTTAGACTAAAATGTAATAAGATATTAATTTTAGTCAAAAATTTTTTAGAACTTGATTTTTTTAGATCACAACCCATATTTTTAGCATGGGTAGATAATGAGTTATAAGCTTTTAAAGTTAAAATATTAGGTGATGCATTACTTTTAGAAGCAACTGTATATTTTGTTAAATAAAAAGCTAATTTTCAATAGCTTTATGTTGAATATTAATATGTGAATTCCAAATCAATAAAATTTGAGAATGATAAGAAACAGCCCATTGATCTTTTGGATTAAGACATTTATAAATGTAAGTTTGAATTTCATTATTAAAATAAGTATATAATGAAAATAGACAGAAAAATCCTTTTTTGCAAGTATGTCCTAAATAAAAATAGTAATAATAATTATTTTATTATGTTGCAACAAATAATAAATTAATTATTATTAATTTAATTAATTGCATGTTGTAATTAGTTGCAATTATTACAGAAAACAGTAATTATTTACAATATAAGTTGCTAATGAAATCCAGAGTTTAGATAGACATCTAAATAGTAAAGTAAAACTTGGTTAAATTATGTGCGAAATTCAGAAAAAGGTAAAACTATATCAAAGGTTATAAAAATAGCAAAACTATATCAAACACTTTGTAAAAATTTAGCGAAATTAAAGGTTTAGACATTTAGTTAAATCCATAGATAAGCAACCTTAGTTGTAATTATTAGAGAGGATAGCAATTAGTTGCAATTATTACAGGGAGTAGCAATTAGTTACAATTATCACAGGAAACTGTAATTAGTTATAATTAATATGATTAATTGTAACTTAAATTATATTGTAACAATATGTTGTAATATAATATTATAATAATAAAGAATTATTGCAATTAAAAATAATATGTTGCAATTAACAATAATAAGTTGCAATTTTTATAAGAAACTATAATTAATTAAAATTATAGGGATTATAATAAATGATATAATATTTAAATAAATAATATAATAAAATGATGTAATATTATAATAAAATGATATAATTTTAGATATTTATAGTAGGTTTTTTATTTATAAATAAATTTGGTTTATCAATAAAATCAGTGGCTTTTTTTAATAAGGCTTTGTTAGGTTTAGTTAGACTTAATTAGACTTAGATAGGCTTAGTTAATGACTTTGATATTAATAAATTTTATAAATAATTTGATTCTTATGATAAAATTTTAAAATAAATTTTTAAAAAAAATTAAAATATGCAAACCAAATTTCTTTTTAACTTTTTAAATAATAAAAGAGAAACAATCTACAATTATTTTAAATAATAGTACTAGTATATCATTAAAAAATATAAAAAGTTCCAAAAAACTTTATAAAGAAAATTTTCTAAAGTATTAAAACATTTTATTTAAGGTAAAGAATATTCTACTTGTGATCATTATGAAGAAACATGTAAATATTATAATAAGTTTTGGACAGATGCTAGACCCAATATTTTACATGCTCATTTAGCATCTCATTATTCAAAATGTTCTAATAATATTAGTTTAGAATTTGCTAGAATTATTGCTCAAGATTTAGTTCAAGTTGAAATTAATAATGAATCTTTTGAATTTAAATGACAAAAAACCAACCTTTCTTATACTTCTTCTTCTTCTACCTCTTTTCATAAACAAATTTCATTTAATCAATATTATGAAACTAATGTAATTTCAAAAAATCGTCAAAAAAAAATTGACAACATTTTATTTAAAATTTTTATTCTTTACAATATTACTTTTTCAATAGTAAAAAATTCATTTTTATTGAATTATTAAAAGCAATATATGTAGAATATAATTCTTCTTGTTGAAAAAGACTTTCACATAAATTATTGAATAAGAACTTGTAATAATTAATATCAAAATCTTAAAAATTTTTGATAATACAAATAACTTAACATTGACTTTAGATAGTTGGGCAACTCCTACTAGATGATCTTTTTGGAATTTTAATATCATTTTATCAAGAATATCTTTTTTACCTTCAAGATTAACTGAAGAATATCATACTGGTGAAAAACTAGCAAGTAAAATTTTAAAAGTTCTTCAAAATATTAGATCAAAAAATTTGTTGATATTGTAACAAATAATGGTCATAATATTAAATTAGCAAGAAATTTAATTTAATAAAATTTCTTACGATTTTTAATATTTCTTGTATAGCTCATTATTTCAACCTTATTTCTCATAATATATTAAAACATACCTTTACGAAAAAAACCATTTAATACTGTAATATGTTAGTTATATATTTCAAAAAATCACATATATGTTACGATATATTAGAAAAACATATAGTTAAATATAATATATTAGATGGTAGATTAAAATCCTTTGTAAAATGTGATGAATAACAATAGCAGAATGTAGTAATTCTATACTTCACCTTAAAAATTAATTTTATAATTTTAATTATTTAAATTTATTATATTAGATGTATGATACTAAAGCTCTGCATGAGCCAGCTGAACTGGCTCACCATCGACTCAAGCTGAGCCAAATTATTTTGGCTCACAAGCCGGCTTGACTCGATTCCAAAATGTGGCAAGCCAGCTCATATGGCTTACATTATTAACAAAAATCTAAAAAAAAATTTCTGAGTAATTGAAAAGTTCTGGAAAGCAATTTCCTTCAAGAGAATCGTCTTCGAAATAGTTTCCTTTAAGAGAAACGTCTCCAAATCGATTCTCTTAAAGTAAAAACGCTTCTGGAATATTTTTCTTTAAGAATTACGTTTCCAAAGTGTCATTCTTTAAGAATTACAGGAGCATTTTTCTTTAGAATTTCACTCCAGAAGCATTATAAATTAAAAATAACGCTCCCAAAACATTATAAATTAAAAATAACGCTTCCAAAGCATTATTTTTTTTAAATTTAACGCTTTAAAAGCGTTATTAATTAAAAATAATTTTTAAATTAAAAATAACACTCTGGAAGTATTATAAATTAAAAATAACGCTCCTGAAGCGTTATAAATTAAAAATAACGCTCCTGAAGCGTTATTAATTAGAAATAACACTCCGGAGGCATTGTCATTTAAAAAAAGAGCTCTGAAGGTGATTTTATTTAAAAAAATGTTCCAGAAGCATTATTCTTCGAAGAAAATATTACTGAATCATTTTTTCTTCGAAAAAATCATTGCCGAAAGCGTTTTTCTTTGAAGTTAATACTCCTGGATTATTTTTTTAAAAATAAAATTCCAAGCTGATGAGCTGAGCTGCGTCATGAGCTAGCTTGATCAGCTCGTAAGCCATTTTAAAGCAGCTCAAGCTGAGCTTTTATGAGCTGGCTCATAAGGTTCACGAGCTAGCTCGGCTTATGCAGAGCTTTATATGATACATATAATGATGAAATTATTAGTAAAGTGGTTAAAATAATTATTAACAAATGTGGATTTTTTAATGATGTTAAAGAATTTCAAATATATTAGAACCTATCAAAAGGCAATTTTATGTCTAGAAAATAATACTTTTAATCTAACTGATTGTTATATTAAGTTGTTGAGAATTGGTATGGCATTTGAAAAAATATCTATTATTTTTCCTTTAAAAATTTTTGTATTAAAAAATACAATAAGAGGTAATTATATTAAATTAATTAAAGTTTTATTTATTAATTTAATTATTTTATATTTTAGATTTAATAACTTTAATGATGAGTTATATTTATTTGCATTTTTTTTTACATTCTTAATTTAAAGGTATGAAATAATAATTTTATCATTTATAATATTATAGGTTAATATTAATTAATTAATTTTTATAATTAGATTCTAGTATACCTGATAAATAATTTAATGAAATCATTATATTAACTGAAAAGGATTTGGAAATAATAAAAAATCATGTTTTGAATTTGTCTCCCAACTAAGAGATTACAAATTAAAGGAATCTCTATATAATGCATCTTATATCAAAGATAATGATAACTATTAAAATGATAGAATATGTGTTTTTCTTATTATAATTATCTTCAAACTCTTGCAATTAATATTATTTTAATTACTCCTAATGTTACGAGTTGTGAAAGAATTTGGTCAACAATTGAATAGTTGTATAGAAAAAGAAGAACAAAAATATCAATTACTACAATTGAATCTTTATCAAAGATTCATAGTTATTATATTACAAATATTAAAAATGAATTATAATATTATCAACTGAATATATCAGAAAGTAGTATTATAAAATTAGTACAAGAATCATTAAGTAAAATATATGAAGAATCAGTTAAAGATGATAAAAAAATTATTTTATCTAACTTAAATGAACCAGAAATATTAAATGATAATACTAATAAGAAAGAATTAAATATATTTACATTATTTAATTTATAATCAATAGAAATAATGATGAAATTAATGAGGATTTTGATATGGAGGAGTTGGTTAATACAGAGGGTTATCAAAAGTTTCTGACTCAATAAAAAATATATATTATAGCTTTTTTTTTATGATGCGAAAGCTTTATATAATTTTTATTAAATTTATGAATTTAAACAAGTAAAAAAAGTAAGATAAAGAATATAAAAATATCTATTTAGAAAGAAAAACTAAACTATGATCAATACTAATCTTGCATCATGCTAAACTAAATTAAGTAAAATTATAATAAAGAATTAAAATAGAAACAACTATTTAGCATAAGCTACATAATTACTTTCTGACCAAAAATTTGACCAATTAGAATCTAAATTAACTGAGTTAATAAAAGAAAATAGAAGGGGAGGTGGAGTAATATGAGATGTTGAGGGGAAACCAAAGGTGATTCAAAGATTAGAATTAGTTTTATAATCATTATTGATGTTATAAAGTTATTTTCATTTGACAAAAGAATCACATATTTGTATTTAGATTAAAGATGGTTCCCATAATTATTTTTAAAATTTTTAACTAGTTGCAACTTAAGTTGCAACACTTTGAGTTGCAACATTTTATGAATTTTTATATTAAAAAAAAATTACAAGAAGTTGCAACTTACTGAGTTATAACTTCTTAATTATGGTGCCTATCTTTAATTCAGATAATCTATATTTTATCAAAGAGATCATAATAGGTAGCAGAAAGAAGTAATTTAGTAACTGTAAAGTTATTGATGATATTATTAATCAAAGTGACTAGATTGTCAGGTATAATTCCCTTGATCATGTTAATAAAATATAGATTATTATTTTATTTAGTAGGAGATCAGATTTACAGTTGGCTGATTTGATATACAAGGTTGTCATATAATGCATCATGGTTCTTTAAAGGGCTAAGTTTAAAGAGATCTTCTTATTTCTAAGATGAGTTGTGTAATTAAAATACTATTTTTGAGTATTACCATATATGATCAAAGGATTCAGTTGTGATTGTGCAGTTAGGACAAAGAGAAAAGTTGAAGACGATTGGATGGTATATATGTAGTATGTAGCATCTTGAGAAGCAGTTGAAATCAGTTTTTTTAATAGTGCTATTTAAAAATAATATAGTAAAAGTTGTACTATTATTATTTAAGATAAAGGCAGTCATTATTCAGTCAATATTAACTTAACATAATTAATAAATTATGGTAAGTTTCAAAAAGCTTTAGCCCAAGTAGACTGTCTAAACTGTTTCATAAGTTGTCTTAGTGATAAAAGAATAATATCATCATTATGTTCAAGATTAAATGTTGTTCCCAAAATATATTTGTTATAGAATAGAGAAGTAATATCAGCCTTTGCAAGAATATCTACTTGATTATTATGTAAGTTGTCAGTGTGAGCTTTGACTTTTTTGAAGAAAATATCAATATGATTTATAGTGATTAACTTTATTAAAAAAAACCAAATTGGAAAATTTTGGATTTTAAATAGAGGATTTTCTAAAGATGTACGATTTGTGATATTAGAAAATTTGTAGAAAGTAGAAATAACATCTTGTAAATCTATACAAATCATGATTTTTAAATAGGGTAGAGTAACAAAAATTGCCACAATAACTGCAGATAATTCTGCCAAAGAAGAGGAAGGAGAATGTGATAGAAAAGAAGCATTAAAAGAGATCATTAGCCAATTGGGATCAGTCTGTAATTATGCAATCCCATATGAAAAGACAGAAAGCCCAGATCTGAAAGAGAACCATCTGTGTAAAATTGAAGGTAAGAAGCATTTGTAAATAAATAAATTTTTGTTTGTAAAGAAACTAAACTATTTGGATTAAAAGGTAAGTTGTTAAAAGTTGGACAAACAGATGTAAATAATAAATTAGAAAAAGTAATCTTGTTAAGTGCAATATCTTTTAATATAAAAAATAAGAGGCTGGTATAATGTTTTAGATGTTTTCAATGATTTATAATAATTTTGTTACAAAAGTTCTTTGAAATAATAAAATAACAAAATTTGTAAAAAAGTTGTTTAACAAAAGAAAAGTCAATATTCTGATTGTGTAATTGACATCAAGCATAATATGCAAGTGTTATTAACAGTTAATGATCATATTCGGGAATAAAATATTAAAGTATAAAGGAATTGTCATCTACTTTTCTAAGAAGGAAATTTTGATACGTATTGTACCAAATTGATACAAAAGTTAATTGTTGATTATTATGTTTGTAACTTTA